ACAAATACACATACCAATGAATAAATACAAATAAACATACCAATGAATAAATACAAATAAACACAAATACACATACCAATGAATAAATACAAATAAATTAGTGCTGGGCAACAATTAAAATATTTAATCGCGATTAATCACATTGTTATGGCAAAGTTCAATAATGAATTCAAAAGTAGTGTATTGTGCACTTTTATTTTAATGTACTGCTATATGAACTAAAGGTCAATAACATTTGGTTTGTAAACACTTTAAACACATCAGGTTGTTGTTAGCAGCAGTGTTCTCTTCACACAGCAGCAGTTCTATCTCTTCACTATCTGTGCTCAGTGTGTGACTGTGTGTGAAACGTTCCACTGCTGTGCAACATGAACATGTTTCAACAAAAATGTGTCTTCATGACAGTCAGAGCATGTGAATGCAGCTCTACTGTTCATCAATATAATGTTGTAACTCAGAGGTGATGATGGTGACCCAGCGATCAAAGAATAAAGACACTTTACCCACAATTTAGGTGTATTTTCCCTTTAACTCACGAGATGCAGCATGTTTTATACTTAATGTGAATATAATTCATACTTTGTTGGCATCTTATTCTGAAAACCGGATGTTCGTCTGAAGAAACCTGATGTTGTCTCACGTTAATCTTTCCACTAACTTTCAAAGTCCTTCGCTTGCTCCCGATCTGTGCCGTTCAAATGCGTTTACCGTGAATGTCAGCATATAGGTGCACTAACATGTAAGTGTCTGCTGAGTTGACCACGGAGATCTGAGTGTCTGCTGACTTTACCGCAGCAATGTCCAGTAGTCTCCATTCCTCCACCGCTGCCAGTGAGCAACAGACTTTCAGAATAAAACAAAATAAAAAAAATGCGTTAACGCGCTATAAAATAATTGTCGGCATTAATTAATGAATGCCTTAACGCGATAATAACACGTTAACTTGCCCAGCACTAAAATAAACATACCAATGAATAAATACAAATAAACATATCAATGAATAAATACAAATAAACACAAAACTAAATATACTAGCGATTTACTGGTTCTCCTTTCACATCATAGAAAACACATTTTATATAGATTGTTAAATTGTGTGTTTAAAAAAATATATAACATTTAAAAAAAAATGATAGAGTAATGTTCCAAATAAACAAATTTGCGAGACAAAACGTTTTGAGATTAAAGTGGTACGTTTACAAAAAACTAAACAAAATAAAACTCATAAATGTGGGTATTGTAGTATTTAGAGAAGTCCACTAAACTGAGGACTGTATCTTGGTTCCACTTCTCTGAAAACCAAATTTAAAGGATCTTTTCTTTCATCTTATGAGTTTGCTGCACATCAGATGACTTACTACTGTATTTGACTCTTTAGCATGTAGCATCTTAGCTTTGTTAGCATTGAACTCACGTCTCTACTTTCAGAGGTATCCAGTCGAAAACAAAAGGTTGGCCAACAGACTTTGAACCATTGATGGCGTTAGAAGAAAAGTCAGCCGGGTCACCAAAGTGATCCGGGTTCATCCTCTGGGGAACATGAACATCTGAACTCATCGCTGTTGTAATTCCTCCAGTGGTTGCTGAGAGCTTTGACTTAAGACTGGAGTCACAGAGCTCCATCTGACAACTGAGATCCAGACATGGAGTCATGTACAGTGGGAATATAATAACTAATAATTGTTTTCACTTCTGAAAGGTGCGATATCTCGACATGGCGACTTTGCGTCCAGACGTTGCTGGTGTGTATGTTTCCCTTTAAAGCCAGAACTGGAAGATATTCGGAAGGATTCAAGTGAAGTCATTTATGAAGCACAAAGACACAAACATGTCTCAGAGGCCGATACGATCTGTTCAACATAGACCTCCATCTTCAGGGCCTCCAAACAAACAAACATGAGGATGAAGACAAGAGGAGTAAAGGAGGAGGCGTAGAGCGAGAGGCGGCGAGAAGGAGATGAGAGAAAGGAGGCGGAGAAGGACAGGAACAGGAAAGAGGGAGTGCTTGTTTTTAACTACCAGGGAGCTATTCTCAGCCCCGCTGTCCTCTCCGTGATCTCAATCCCTCGTCTTTCTGTCCATGTGTGAGATGGTGGGGGAGTTCTTCAGTAACACTTAACGCAGATGAATTAACCGCCGGCTCATTGAACTGTTGAACCATAAGAACGACCGCCGGAACCGACCAGGAGCAGGAGGAGACGAAGGAGAATATCGTGTAAAACGAGCTGTTCCTGCTCACCGGTGATGAGCGACCTTTGCTCTCCTTGGTTCCCTGTGGATCTGTAATGAGGATTCAGAGTGACGTGTCGGTGAGGCTGCCTGGAGACTTTACGTCTTCTGGACGCCTTCGACGTCCCCGACCGAAGCGTTAACGGCGTCTGTTTACGGGTCCCACGGATTACACCGGTGTTGAAGAGATAAAATGCAGTAACGACGTTACAGTCCGACTCGTGGTTCCTTTAATGTCCTACGAGTGGAATATTTGGGGCTTCGGAGGTTTTTACATTTTTAACGGCACA